GTCCGACAGTCGGTTGTACGCCGACGCCACGTTAGCGAGCGCCCCCGCGCACAGCACGCGTAGCCGCGCAATAACGGCCGCCGCGGCCAGGCAGAAAGGCATGAAGTAGCCCATCGACAGCTGCCCGATCAGGTCCCTTGCCGCCTTCAATATGGCGGGCTGCGCGTCCCGCAGCAGCGCGCAGGCGGCGAGAAGCCTGTGCAGGACGAGAGCGCATGCGGCCTCCCGAGGCAGCAGCACGGCGCGGCGCGCAGATCCGGATGGGTCGTCCGCTCCGCCGCCGCGCGGCCGCTTAGGCGGGGGGCCGTGCGCATTCGGCTGCTGCTGCTGCTGCTGCTGCCGCTCCGGCTGCGACGTGCGCTGCGCCTGCTGCGCCAGCTCCCCGACGCAGTCCGGCAGCTGCAGCGCGCACAGCAGGCGCAGCGAGCGGCGGACCTGCGGGTGTTTCGGGGGGTTTTGCTCCGGTGAGGGGCGCGGCCGCCGGCGGTCGCCAAGTTTTATGCCGCGAGATGAGACAGACTGCACCCAACGGCCACCCCGTCTGGGCACGCTTCCGGCTGGCGCAGGCGATCGCGGATCCGCGAGGAGCCACGGGGACCGCACCCCGTCCCACGCGCCGCGCGGGGCGTGCGCCGCGGCGGGCGCTGCGACGGGGGCGGGGCGCGCTGCTGCCAATTGCGCACCTCGGAGAGGCGCCGGAAGTGGGCGGAGCCGCGGTGCTGGTTGCGGTTTTTGTACAGCAGACGGTCCAACAGCGCCGCCTCCCTCACCAGATCGCCAAACTGCAGGGTCACCTGCGTGCAAAAAGTCACAAGACGATAAATTGTTGCTTCGAGGGCGGCGAATGCGGGGCGACCGCGGCGGTGTCCGCCGCCGCTCGCGTGCGGCGCCGCTCCTGAGCCCCGACCAGGCGCCGTTGTTGCAAAGAAGGAGGGTTTCCGCGACGGCGCAGGCGGGCGGGCGCGTGCGAATGCGCAGTGTTCGCTGCTGCCGCCCCTGGCGCCGCTTTGGCGCTGGAGATCGCGCACTGGCGCTGTGTTTGCTGCGCGCCGCGCGCCGCGCCCCTGCCCGCCGCGGATCTCACCTGCATGGCGGCAAGGTCGGCCTGCTCGACGACGGCGAAGACTGTCGGCAGCGCGAGCAGCTGCACCGGCACCCGCAGCGGCGGCGGGAGCGCATGGCTGCTTGTCGCGACGACCGCTGTCGTCATTCGTAAGCGGCGTACATGTAGAAAGAGCCCGGACCGGAATATTTGTGCAAGTGTGGCGGATCGAAGACGCTTGCTTACGAAGCCATTTCTGGGGGCAATGACAATGACTTTGCGCCGTCCGTCAAGCTTCGACGGCTTGTCCTGGCCTCCTCTCCACTGTAAGACGGCTCTGAATCATCGAATCGGAAGCACTGCAGAGGCATACCCCTCCTCGTGGGGGTCATCCATCATTGCACATTGCGTGCGTTGTTGAGAGGGTCTCACCAGCATCACCACTAAGGCAGAGCCTCGCCAGCACACCCGCTAGCAGCGCACGCTGCAGGTGTGAACCGCAGAGGGAGAAACAATGTATTAACGCGCCGCGGACTGCGGTCAGCAACCGCGGCCCTGCCAGCTGTGGGCGACGACACGCAACCACGGGCAGATCAGACGGGTCGAGGCCACCTTGGGCCACTCATTTGGGATAAAAGTTATGATTGGACTACTTGGCGCCAGCAGTTGATCACCCACGGTGCATCAGCGCCTGCTGGTGCCTGCAGCAGGATCGGCCTTAGGCTAGTTGGCGTCGGAGCCTATCATAAAGACCACACCGCACGAGATTTTTCGGCCACACCCCCGCGGCCCCTGCGCAATTCCCGCCCGAGCGCCGCCGCCGCCACCCCACCCTCTCGCTTGCGTCGCCCCAGGCAGGCCCGGCAGTCCGTCGGCGGCAACCAGGGGCCCCGACCCCACCACACCGGCCGGAGGCGGCAGGAACCCGCCATGATGTTCCTCATCGCTCAAATGGACGAGGCGTTCGGCATATCGGCCTTCATTTCGGACCTTCAGGTGCGAGTGGGCTGGCGCCCATCACAGTCATGACGGCAACGAGGGTTTACGTAGCAACCACCAGCCAACAAGCTACTTGCGGGCGCGATCACCTGCGCGCGGCACGGCCGCGCGGCCGTCGGCCGTCGGCGGTGCGCGGCCGACCAAGGCGCGGCGCACGCGTCTTCGCCGAGGCCGGCCCCGCGGCCGCAGCAGCCGCGGCGCCGTCGCCCCGTGCCCGGAGCGCGCAGGGCGGCCGCCGGATGCAGCCGTGCGGCGAGCGGCGGCGGGTCAACAACCCCCTGCGGACTGTGACCCCTCAGCGGGCAGCAGCCATGCTTGCATGCCTCGACCCACCACACACATCAGGCGGCCGGCCTCGTATGCCGCCACACGCAACAACTCAGGCGTTCACGAACAAGTTAATGGAAATGTCGCCCCCCGAAAACATTGATACACATTGCTCTGCAGGCCTCACAGCCCGCCACGCGCCTCATGGCCCCCCCACAGGCCGACACG